TTTCAGTGTAATATTTATAAAGTAATGTAACTACGCGTATATTTCGTCATGCTTATTTTATTATATAACAAATCATATTTGTTGGTAGTCGTAATTCAAAATATAATGAACGATCGCATCGATTCTCGCCGTTTTTTTCATGAAATTATACAAGTCAATTTAATTGGCCTAAACTATCAAGCACTCGAAACGTCAACGAGACGCCGATAACAGCGGACAGAACTTATAGTCCGAGCAATGGATAACTTTCTTCCAGCTTTCGCCGACGACGTCCTACTGACTGATTCGACTTTTACCTCTTAGCACAGTTTCACTGTATGCGCACGATGTGCCCTGTCCGCTATCGCGTTGGTCATGTGCGATAGAAAAAAAGAAAGAAAAGTCGACAGAAAGAGAAAGACTTGAACATGTTATCGAAAATAAAAGAAAGAACGAGACAAAGAGAAAACTCTCGTGCATTCAATGCGATAACTTACTCGCGTTCGCTTCTCTTTCCAGTTTTTAATCACGATTAATCCCCATCGGATCGCTTTTTGATGTGATTTCATCAGCATCACAGTAATTAAGTGAAATGTGTTATTTCAAATGAGTCATCTTGGTAAAATTCATCATTGCGTATTGGAAGTATTTATTCGTTATTATTGATATATAATTACGTATTAAATAATTAATGTATAAATTAATATAATTAATATATAATTATATATTAATTAATTTGTAACAAATACAAATGCTTTTTACACGCTTTTCTACTTTTATCATTCTAATATAGTCGAGACTGTTTCATTTGTCTCTTATTTTTGAAAATTAGAAATAATTCGTAAAATTCGAGGAACTTCGAAATGATTAGAAAATTTTGTTGAGAAAGATTGATCGCTTGAGATAAATTAAGAAAGCGGAATGAGAGAGAGTTCAAGTTCTCGCGAGTAATTCCGACGATATTACGTCTTATCCACGAATGGATTGTTAATGACAAATATGGGATTTTCTGTACCGACATATGAAACATATACCATTATACAATTCAATTCATTGCGGACGCGTGCATCCATATACCGATGAGAGAGCGGAATTATATCATGTACTATGTTGTAATGCATACTATCCCCGAGCAAGCAGTTCTCACATACGTGACGGGAATTTACGGGACAAACCGCATTTCTAAAAATAGCAAGAATTTCAACGTCCAATAAAAGAAAGACAATATAAATTTTCTTTGTCAGTTTTCTGCTCACATGTACATATATGCTTTTAAGATTTTAAAACTATTCTAAAACAGTTTTTCTCCCATATATATATATATTCGATTAGTCACAGATAATCAGATAGATGTTAAATTAAAGATAGTTAATACGGGATTTTATTTTTCCCCAAAAAACATTCCGCTCTTTTTTGCTTAAAATTAAAACATAATGTTTTAATTAATAATAAATCGCATTTATATTTATATATTATTCTGGTAATATAATTGTGATGTATATCTAATAATTAATATATTTAATTAGTCTTTAATTAATTATTTAATTAACAAGTAGAATAACTTTTAAATCAGTTTGTATATCTCGGTGCGTCCTAAAGAAAGCGAGTTAATTGGAGCGAGCGATCGTTAATGGAAAACATGGGAAGATTAAAAATCCGCAATCTAGTGCACACCTAATTAGTAATTAACTGCGTACGGTGTCGGTCATTTGTCGAAGTATGTCTCCAACTTTCTAATAGTTTGTTATCCTACACTAATCGACATTTGCGCGTGTACTTACAGAATTCAACCTGGAGCAGCCGCACAGGTGTCCAGTCACTTTGAGGAGGTCATGGACGCTGTCAGGAGACACGATTGTTCCAGCTTCCTGTGCCCACAGGCGAGACCCGGCAACATCTTCTTTTAGACACGCTTGTAGTTCTTAAATTGCGACTCTTCTTCTACCAGTTGGCATTTTCAACTCACTCTAGTTAAGTCCTGTTTGAAAAAATATTTTTCTTTTAGCGTTTCGTTGCAAATACATGGAAATCCAGCTGGTTAAATCTTTTTTCTTTTCTCGGACACAGCTTAGAAATTATCTCGACATTTTCGTTAGGAAACAATTATTTCAATTAACAACGGGAAATATTTTCACACCAAATATACAGCTGTTACAGAAAATCTTGTATATATTATTATAAATAATTAGTAACAACACGCGAATTCTTTAGCTATATAATAGCTCTCACAACAAAAAAATGAGTATAAAACTTTTTTTAATCTGATTAGTTGTTCAAACATGTTGATATATAAAAATGCCAACAATAAGTAAAGAATTAATGCATCCTTTCCAAGACTTGCCGGGTGTATTAAATTCGCGTGGTGTATGAAATTTTTTTTATTAGTGGGTAACTCGCATGATCGTGATCAGTTGCATAAAATCTTTAACGAGATCTTTAAGAAAATGTTAATTTACATTTGCAATAATTTTGCAATTAAACAAATTTCTGTCAAACACATTGAATCAACGACGAGCCAAAAGTGTACATATTTGCCAGCGAGGCAATTTTATTTAATATGCACTCATATTTGTAGCTTAGATAATTAAGTATAGAATTTAAGGGAGAGAATGTAAGTTCGGCGGTGAGTAAGTTGCGTCTTCTGCAATTTCCGAATGTTCACCATATTACCTAATCGTCCTTTGGTGAATTCCGTCGCTTCTTCTCGTCTCATTTCTGATTTCTGCGTTCCGTTCGAATATAAATTATATCGTGCGTAAAATATAATTTATTTCGACGCGCTGAAAGATCAGAAACAATGTTACATGAAAATATATTACTTAATTCAGAGAGAGAAATCATCGCCAATCGTTAGAAGAATATATTTATTTCTGTTCTTACGTATAAAATTGTATTTGTATAAGTCAACGAATAAATAATATTTTTTACGATACATGTGTTTGAGTTTTTTATTTATTCTTTATATATATACTTCAGTGACATCTGTTTGCAGATTTTGAACAACTGCTAAAAATTAAGCAATTAATCGATGTTGACAAGCGGATAATATCGGGTAAATAACTTGCTTATAGTCGAAAAGAAAGTGCTGCATTCACGATATATGATTCAGCGCATGGTGATTACGTACTACTCATCTTACTATTGATTGTTATCCGAAAGGGTTTATAGAAGTACTCACAGATGGTAGCGGTTTAATCCTCTGTGTACTGAGCAAGCGCAAAATCATACACACACACACACACACACACACACACACACACACAGCGGTTTGGTATAATCACAAAGAACGAATCAGTTAAACGATAATTTTCGCTCCGTGAACTGCAATGAACGTCAATGAAGGTAGAATATATCTCGAAAAAATAGCAAAAGTATGCACCGCGATATTTTATTAAAAATATAGGCGTGTCGTGTGAAAGTTATGTAATACAACATAATATAAAAATTATATTTTCCATCATACGTGTGTTGATAGAAATTTTTATTCCGGTATAAATTCTGTACAATTTTTAAAAAGATTAATTATAATTAAATTACTATTATTTGTAAAGTAACAAATTAATGGAATCTTATATTATTAAATAACTTGCTTCATGTGAAATATTACTATTCACACTCTGATAATAATACTTAGTTATTTTTAATATTTTTCTAATTCTAGTCAATTTTAATATTAATCATTGTTACAATTTATTTCTATTTTCTTAATATTGCAAAGATATTCCTACTCTTGAAGTGATTATATATCCTATTTGTTACTTAATATGTCGGCTATATGAAATGATTTTTTAATAAAGGATGCTTAATAAACATATAATAACAGTTACATAACTAATGGTCACTTATAAATAAAAAAAAGGAGAAAAATTCGCTTTTAACAATTTGCCGCAAAAATCCGTGAGAATCATAATTTTTTTCAAGGCGACTATACATCTGTCATAGAAGTTCGGAACTTTATGTTCCACGAAAGTTTACGAGAACCAGGTATAAAACTTTCTATGCCAGCAAATGCTTGCTTTCTCGACATATAGATTGTCCCAAAGTGTTTTTGAGTGGTAAAGTTGAACGATGTATAAATTGAACGGGGTTAATTCTGGTGATGTGTGTACGATTTATTTCTGATTTCCCTTCGTTATAGACAAAGGGTTCGGAAACTTTAATTCTTAGAAAAACACAATACAATTAAAATAAAAATTTTTCGTCAGAATTGATCATCTTATAGAAGATTTTTTTTTAAAGAGAGTTATAAATTACTAAAAAAACACTGTAAAATTTTAGCTTTTTAAAAAAATTATAAATAATATTTTTTACATCATCCATTATTCACCTCTCATTATTAATATTTTCTCTGAGGAGATCTAAAAAAATATTAGAATTAAAAAAAAACTCTCAATATTCAAAATCAAATTATAAAAAATAATACATCTAAAGTAAATTATAACTGTGATATCTATAATTTAAAAATGTAACGAAAAGAATGGTTTTGTTTAGAAATACTTAAAAATTTAGCTAAATATTGAAAATAATTTTATTTTTATTTAGACCATCAATCGTTCAAATTAAATTGCTAGAATGTTAAATCTTTTGTAGCATTGTCATCAAAGCTTAATTCTACGTATATAATTATTTTAATGATCCAATGAGAAATTATTTTCAGATCTAATTACATTTTTAGACACTTCAGTAAAACTTCTTTTCGTACGTTCGTGAAATATAGTAATACTTATTAGCAAGTCAGAAAAACAAAATTTAAAAAATACACAAATAATAATGTTTCTTCTAAATTAATTATAAATAGAAATATTCCTTTGATTTGACGAAATTTGATTTGATTAGATATAAATTACGCCTTTGCGATGAGTCGTCAATGTTTACGGATATTAGGCGTATGGCCCGATCCATTTGTGAGTGATGCCAAACGGCTAAACATAAGATTCATGATTGTTGCGTGCATCCTGAGTTTTTACGTGATCATGCCGCAACTAACGAACATGATACTTGCTTGGGGTAACGTGGCTCGTATGGTGGAATACGTCGCCTCCGCAAATTTCAGTTTAATGGCACTGTGCAAGTTAGTCGGTACTTGGTATCACGGTGAAAGTAAGTTATCATTTCGAAAGTAAGTTGTTATCGATATTTTTATTTAAAAATGTGGAGATTCGTTATTTATAACTCTAAAATCAATATTATAATTGTTTTATTCGTATAAGACTTTCCCGACGTGCCATTTTTTAATCATTTTCATAGCATATTTATTGATATATCGTGTTTAATTCGAAAGCACTTCGAACGCTGATGATATCGATCATGACCGATTGGATGACTTCGACAAACAACTGGGAACGAAATACAATGTTAAATATAGCGAAACGTGGCAGAACCTTATCTGTTAGATGTTTTGTAACCATGACGGGTACAGTCACGTTTTACATATGTCTCAACCTCCTGAAATTCTATCGAAGTGTGCATCAACCTCAAAGGAATCTTGTGTATCGATTTTCCTATCCTTACAATACTCAAAATACTCCGAATTACGAAATCACTTTTTTTACTCAACTTTCTGGCGGCATGTACTCGGCTATGATCAACTGTACCATCGATACTTTTATCTCGATACTTGTGCTACACATATGCGCACAGTTGATAAATCTACGAATGGCACTTAACAATCTGGTCGACGAGCTAGCCAAAGGATCTATATCTTCCTCGAGATTTAAGAAAGGCCTAATTGCGATTACTATACGTCACGAACATCTTATCAGGTATGCTGAAAAATTTCAAATAATTATTTAACAGTTAAAATTCAGTATTTAAAATCATTTATTTATAAAATATTTTAAAATAGAATAAAATAGAATTCATTCTTTCATATTTATAATACAATGTCCTTACATATAAAAACTATTCTTAGATTAAGACATTTTTTAAAAAACATACAAAATATACAATAGTTTAAAATTTTAAACACATTTTAATATTTTAAGATTATTAGATTTAAATGAGGACTATAATAAATGTAAAATACCACTTCATTTTAAAAACTGTGGTTTTGTATTAAATATTTTTTAATCTTTAATAAATTAAAATTTTGTATATCAAAACAATTATAATAAATTGTATTAATATAAAATGTATGAATTCAAGGAACGCAAACACAGTCGATAAATGTTATAGCGCAGTGTTATTTGTGCACATGCTAGCCGCTACTTTTCAGCTGTGTTTTGAAAGTTTTCAAGTTTTCACGGTAAGAAAGATAATTTACCCTTTTCTCACAAAATTTATGCAAAATAAAAATTGAATATACAAGTATATTCGTATATATATATAGTAAAAATGCTAAATTATCTATTTTGCTAAAATGGAAATATATAAGATAAAAATTTGACAATACGGATTTATAAATAATCATTAGACCGAGAAAAATGTATATATTATTTTCAGATAATAACAAGCCATTTGGGTATACCTATTATCAAAATAACCTTCCTATCGTTTTACTTCTCTCTTGTATTGACGCATTTGTATTTTTACTGTTATTCAGCCGAAAAACTTTCAACGGAGGTAAAATAATTATTATTTATGTATCAAAGATGATTTTCCTAAGCGAAACAAAATAGATGTAATTTTCAGAGCACAAATATGGCGAATGGCGTGTATGAATGCAAATGGTATGATATACCACCAAGAGATGCAAAGAATTTATTGTTTATGATATATCGATCTACAATTCCGCTTAAACTGACAGCTGGAAAATTTGGAACTTTTTCATTAGAAATGTTCGGAACAGTAAGACATTTAAAAAGAAACATATATTATTTCACAACAAAAAATCCCATTTTTTACCCATAGAAAGAGCAACAAAATACAATCATAAACATCGATTTTCAATAAAACTTTTATTTTTCGCGGTTTCACAAAATAAATTATATTTTATTTTTAAATTAAAAATGTTCTCTTTCGAGCATATTAATTAAATAAGTCCTGAAGATTTTTTAATACTTTGCCGGTAATTTGCAATTTTGAAAACATAGTTTAGCTGGTTAGTCAATTTTTTATTGCAAATTCTGATAAATAAATTTAAATCTATAAAAGATAAATAAAATACAATTGGATCTTCACTTCTGATGATAAAAATTTATTGTTAAAACTTTCAAAAGTATAAAAAACTTTTTTTTCATATCTTTATACAAACCGGAACAATATAAAAATCTGCACTAAAATTTAAAAACTCAGATTGCAGATAAAAAATAAAAATTTTATGTTTCCAACATAAGGGAGAATTAAAAAGCCTAATATAAGATGTTTTGTCACTCTCTCCATGAATATTGTACTTTTTCTTTTATGTATTATATAATGTATTAATATTCTGTATAAGAATAATATAATTATAATCATCCATAAAAAATTTATATTATATTTTTATTTTACATAGACGGTGAAAACGTCAATGGGATACTTATCTGTATTGCTAACAATGATGGATTAGAAAGTATAATGTTTAAATAAATTAAATGCGCGTACTTTATTATTATTTATTTTCTACATACTATGTTAACAGATTTATACATATTAGATACTTGTAATATAATTTTTGCTGGACAAATATATATGTTTTTGGCAACAAAATAAATTATTTATTTATTACCTTCCATCGTTATAAAATAATTAATTCTATACCAAAAAAAAGCAATACCCGTAATCTTCAATTTAGTAATGAAAAATATGATAATTATATGTTACTCGTATTACTATCGATTGTTCTACAAAAGAGTTTATAGAAGTATTCATACAGATAATAACCGTTGAAAACCTGTATATACTGAGCAAGCGCGGTATACTGAAAATCAAGGCGGTTTGGTACAATCGCAGAGAGCGATTCAGTCAACCGATTATTTTTGCGCTGTGAACATCAATGAACGCCAACAAAGGTAGAACATATCTCGAAACAAAATAGTAACAATGTGTGCACTGCAAGTTCTATTAAAAATATAATTACATAAACATATAATGATATTACATTTTCAAAATCAAGGATTGTTTATTAAACCAAAGAAAGGAATGGCTTTAATAGTTTGTTACGAAAAAATAGCAAAAAGCATAGTTTTTTACAAGGAGTCTATAGATCTCTTATAGAGGGTTAAAACTTTGGTGGTTCACGAAAGTTTGTGAGAATGGAAATAAAGCTTTGCATACTAGCAAAAAACGTTTCGTTTTTAATAAGAAGTTTTCCTGCAGATATACAGTGTTTTTATATTGTAAAGTTGGATGAAATCAAGTTACGTGAAATAAACGTCAGTTGTGCACAAATCGTCTTTTATGTCCAGAGAGAGAGAGAGAGAGAGAGAGAGAGAGAAAGAGAAAGTTTATACTAAAAAGAAATTTTCCAAAGTATTGACAACTTCAGAATCGAAGTATAATTACAGCAACTTTAAATAACGATAAAATTTTGCAAGAAGATATCGCGAAGAGAGATGTGAAACTTAGACAATATAACCGTGTAAAAATAGTGTAATATTGAAAAGAAGCATTTTAATCAAAAAATATTTTTAGCTTTATTTTAGTAAAATATTGTTTACTCAGTTTATTCATTATTTATCACTTTAATTTTTATTTTACGCATTGTACACGAGTTTAGAGAAGTGTTAGCTTTGTTCTATAATAACATAGAAGCAACAAAATTTATTTAATTCAGATACTAGACCACGGAATTCTTATATGTATATGTACTTTAACGTTTTAACACCGGATCCGATGTCTAAATTGCTCCATCAAATGATATTTTTTTTATATTGATAAAAAAATAGCTTGATTTTTCAGTACTTTTAATCTATCAGCTTGCACATTATTGTTGAACTTTTTTTTTCCTCTTTTACCTTAGCTCGCATATGAAAAATCAGACCATAAATAGCTTTACAAATATTGGAAAATTGAACTTTCCCTCAAAAAAAGAATGTGACGTGATAGAACAATTTTGACATCGGATTCGGTTTCAGAACATTAAAATACATATAAAAATACCATAGTCTGATCTCTGAATCAAATATTAAATTTTGTTTAGTGTAATCTATAATAACAAATTATATAAGAAATAATATAAATGAAGTGAATTTCTTCATAAGTGTTACAATACAATTAAAAATAAAAAAATAAGTAACTAAAAAAAATAAGTACTACATTCACCACTAATTGCAATGAGATGATTACTTCTAATAAATGAGAAACAAAATCGAAAGTAAAGTGACAAATTAATATATATTCTAAATTAAGTAATGATGTTTTTCCAAATATTTTATTTTACAGATTTGAATTATATGTTTACCCTGACTCGCCAGTGGCTATGGGTATTTGGCATATGGCCCGATCCACATATGTCTTTAAGTGACTTTCGTTGGCCAAATATACGATTCATTATCATCATATGTAATATAAGTCTGTACGTATCCGCGCCGCAAATGATGAATGTGATTCGTGCTTGGGGTAATTTAACGCGAATGGTGGAAAATTTTGTTTCCGCGAATTTTAGCTTGATGGCAATATGCAAACTGCTCGTTACCTGGTATCATGGCAAGAGTAAGTCCACTTTACGCGACAATATAACTGTCGGATAGATTAATTTTTCCGTTTTTTATATAAAGTGTCAAAGTTGAATCCTTCTTATTTTTAAATTTACTTATTTATTAATAACAATAAATACAAAAAGTGCAGACAATGTTCTATGTATTGTAGAAACTCAGACAGCATACATGTCTAAAATTAGGTCATAGGACTATTTCCTATTTAATGTGTAAGAGCGATTTCGATCGATAAATTTATCTTTTCAGGTTAATAGTACATAATATTTAAAAATTTAGATGTATATTTAAGCTATTTAGTTTAAATATGATTTGTTTTGAAAGAAATTGTTAACTATATATTATTGATATACAAATAAGGATAACTTTTATGCCATTTAAATTTCAATAATAAAAAATATAATTAATATTGATAAAAATTCTGTTGCTTAATATTTATAGGCGCAAAAAAAATAAAAAAACCTTTAAATATTTTTATATAACTTCTATCAATATATACTTTTTTATTGAAAATGAATAATTTTATTTAAAAAAATTAATTATAACAAATTATAATAATTAATTAATAAAGTATTTACATAAAAATTATTACCTTCTTATATTTTTATATAGTATTTAATGTCTGATCGTATTTGTCTTTTAAATTGATTCCTTTACAGAACCACACAAGAAATAATTTTATTTAATATATTTTACTTTAGATCCGACATTTTGATTCGCTAATTTTTCAATCTCATTTTTATATTCATTCATTCCCAAAACCTTAAAAAATAACTAAATATTATATCTTCCATTTCTCAAAACAGTCGATCAGAAAGAATTAATCAACACTATTAAGTACAAATAAAACTATTAAGTTAATTAATATAATTATGCCTAATACGAGTATATCGAAAAAAGATTAAGAATATATAAATTGTATATTAGAGATTTACCAAATCTGCGGGACAAGCTGTATAACTGGCAATTAAGTTAATTCGAGAATTTAGTCGAAGTCGTTCTAAAAGATTACTTTTAACGGTGTGTTTAAAATGTCTTATGCTTCGATTTTGAACATGGCGCTGTCTAGTCTTACTTGTTTTAATAATTTATATTCATATTGATATTCATTTTAAAAGCACTCCAGCCGCTGATAGTGTCAATTATGACTGATTGGATGACTTCAACAACTAACTGGGAACGAAATACCATGTTGAAAATCGCGAGACGTGGCAGAAGCTTATCCTTTAGATGTTGTATGTCCGCAGTGGGCTTGACGACATTTTCACTTTCTTTTCATTTGTTGAGGCTTTTTAAAAATATACACCAGCCTCGACGGAATCTTGTCTATCAATTAGAAATCATTCAAAAGAGTCCAAACTACGAAATCACCTACATTATTCAACTTTTCGGCGGTGCATATTCAGTCTTCGCTAACTACATGATTGATAGTTTTGTCTCGGTACTTGTGCTGCATATATGCTCGCAACTCATAAATCTGAGATTAACAATGAACAATATGGTGAACGAATTAGCTAATAATTCTATATCTTCTTCAAGAAAAGAAAGATTTAAAAAAGATTTAGCTGCAATTGTAGTACGACATGAACATCTCATCAGGTATGTTAGAAAAGTATTCTAGTACATCACTAGTATGAAGTATTTGTACACACACACATTCTCTCTCTCTCCTCTACAATTAAGAAGCAAATTATTTTTGTTACTTTAAATGAATTCGAGCGAATCTTTATTATGTATAAGATGAATCATATATAATTAAACACAGAAATAACTTTTATTGATATATCTAAGAATTTAGCTATATATAGATTTAAAAATAATTTTGTTAGACCATCAAAATAATTATGTAGAACGTCGAAACGGGTTGCAAGAACATCAAAACTTTATACAGCGTTGCTTATTATGTTTGAGATTCCTACGTAATCATTTTGATGATCTAACAAAGTTGTTTTTATATTCGTGTTCAGCTAAACTTTTAGAGCAAATCAAACATCAGAAAATTCTTTCCATGGATGTATAAAAATATTTGTCTACTTATTCTTATTAGAATCGTTTTAAAATGTCATGCTTTGTGAGCGGCGGAAGAAAATTAGAGATCTATAAGGGGGATTTAAATACAAACTGAAATAAAGTATATAATTTCATGATATATTAAATAATATTTGAATGAGCATACAATATTAAAAAAATATTTTTAAATATTTATTCAATGTAAAAATGTTAAATAACTATTAAAATATATATATTTTTCAATATCATGTACTGAAGTTTTGATAATT